GGGGCCAGGAGGGTAGGCGGCGGCCAGGTGCCTTAACCCCTTCGGCGCCCCCGGCCCTCCATCCCCGCAGGCGCGCCCTAAGCCCTCCGCACCGCGCGGGGCGACAATACCCATTTCTCGGAGGTGGCACCCGAGCCCCGGAGCGCGCGGAGCCGCCCAAGATCACCCGGCCCGAGTGTTAGTGACCGAGTCCCGACTTCGCAGCCCAAGAGGGTCACCTCTCTCTCCTGGGACGCGGTTTCCCGGGAGGAGGGGGGCTTCCCTGGGAGCGCCGGCCCCTCTGGCCGCGTGCGACCGGGACCCCACCCACCTGCAAACCTCCCCGGGCGCCAGAGGTCCAGCCATTTACCTCTGGCCGGGTCCGGACTTGTTCTGGGTGCGGGAGACATAGGCAGACAGCGTTTCCTTCTCCCTCCGCTTCCTCCTGCCTCTCCCCTTTCCCCTTCCCAGGCAGGCCTCCCGCACCCAGCTGTTGGGGTCTCTGGCCCAGCTGTCTAGGGCTGGGTCTGTGGAAGAGAGGGACTGGGTCCCAGAGAGCAAAACCCTGAGGAGGGGTCAGGAGGAGGCTGGGTTGCCTGTGTGGGGACCCTGGCCCAGGCCGCAGCTCTGAAGCCTTCTCTGCGCCCCCGGGCAGCGGCCCTCTCCATCTCTGGGGTCCTACCCACCTCGGAGAGCGTCTCCTCACCACCAAGGGAAGGCCTGGCTTCCTTTTCATCCATGAACAAATATTTCACTCAAAACCCTTTTTGTCTCTAAGCCTGTATTAATCTGTTTATGTGTGCCAGACCCAGTTGCCCCTAGGGAGTGGGCTGCACAGAAACATAGAATTGGGAGGGCCGTTCTTGGTCCAGGTGGTTCTGGGGTGGTGTGTGTTCCAATCTGGTGACTTCCAGAATCCTCTAACAGGTTAAAACCTCATCTGATCCTGCCGCAGCCTGGATGTCTCTCCTAGTCTTGTTCCATGTTGAGGTCTCAACACTGAGTTTGCAGTAGGACCTTAAAATGCCCACAGTATTGAAACGGAAGCATTTCACAGTCCACTAAATAACAGGTAACACTCATTAGGTAGGTGCAATATGCCAGGCACGGTTCTAGGCCCATGCATGAATGAGTCATTTAATCCTAGAGGCTATTATTATTACTTTACAGAGGAGGAAATGGAGATGCCTGCCCAGTGGACCAGGTCTCATAGTAAGCAAATCCAGGAGGCCTGCCTGGCTGTGGAGGCAGCTCTTTCACCCTTCCGCCAGGGAGAGCAGTGACAGGGAGCTATTTCCTGCCAAGGGGCACCCAGGGAGGCCAGGAGGCCACAAGGTACAGTCAGAGGCAGGTGGTAGGAAGCCTAAGGAGGCTGCTCTTGCCCAGCGGGACCCAGACCCCTGAGGCTGGGGTGAGGACCCTTTTCCTTAAGGCTCAAGGGCCGCTTGGACAGGGAGGAGAAACCCAACACGCAATAGAATTTTCCAGGATGTTGCAAGCTTCAGTGAGAGAATGTGAAGGAGCTTCCAGGCAGAATTCCAGAGGAGAACCCTGGGGCCACGCCCTTAGTAACGGCCCCTCCCAAGTACCAGATCAGGAGGAAGGTCTGCCCTGTAGCCCAAAGCCCCTGTTGGCCTGGCCGCCACAGGGCCCCGGGTACTTCACTCCCCTGCCCGGGCTCTGGGTTCTGGTTTGTCCAGCACGTGCAGCCCTGAAGGAGGTCTGGCGCTCTCCTGGCTGAGGACAGCCCACCTTGCCTCGGCACTAAACTTTCACCTGGAAGCTGTAGGGTCTCTTTAGGAGCCTGGTAAAGGGTGGACACAGCAACCCCTGAGAAGGGGTTTTGAGTCCCGGTTTGGAGACTGGAGGGGCAGGGTTGGGTCTGCACTTCCTGGTTGTCACTATGGACATGTGGTTTATTCCTTTGAGACCTCAAGTTTCCTGCTAGCACAGGGCTACTTGAGATGATGCCTATGAGGCAGATCAGTGTCTCCTAAATGGTGACACCATGACAGACTGGCCATTGTTAGCGTTATTGTTGCTAATATTTGACCCAACCCATAAGGTCCCAGAACCCAGGGCTCAACAAGGTGGTGATTTGGCGGGGGAGAGAGGGGGAGCTGCCGCCAAAGCCAACAGTGTTTGCCAGTGGAATCTGGTCCATTGAGAGGAACAGTTTGTCATCATGGTTCATTTGATCTGTGCCTAGGTGGAACTCAGACTGGGAAATGGATGACAATTAATTACTCAGTCCCTGACTCTCGTGTGGGGGTAGGGGCTGTGGGAGCTGGGCCAGGCCCTGGTCAGCTTTCACTGTCAGTCTGACTGGCTTCCCTGGGGCCGCTGGGCCTGTCACTTTCAGGAGCACTGGCGCTGGCCCAGCCTGGCCCCTCCACCTGTATTGGCCCCTGCCCCTTGGGCATAGCCCCAGCAGATCCCTACTGATGGTCTCAAGCCACAGCTGGAGTGGTTGAGCAAGGCCCCTGAGGAGGCGGAGGTCAGTCTGCAGATGGAATCTGTCACCTGCCCCATAGCCCTGGCTGAAGGCAGAGGAAAGCTGCAGAGACAGAGATTCCCCAGAGGTGGAGGGTGGTCTGTCCATCACCTTGGAGGGAGGGTAGGGGAGTGGGACGAGCTGGTGGGGTAGGGGCTGTAGTCCAAGAATGGTGGGAGTGGGTTACGTGTCCTTGTCACATGGTCATCCTCTGCTCCCCTCAGGTTGACATTCTGTCCTGGAAGAGGGAGCTCAGTGAGCCCTGCCTAGGAGAACCCCAGGTGCTGCCCCTTCCCTTCTCCTGGCACACTTTGTCTCTTACTCCCCCATCCCTCTGCCCCCAGCCCTTTCCTTCCTCCTCTCCTCCCTGCTCCCTCGTTTCTCTCTCATTTCCCTTTCCCCATCCCCCTTCCCACTTTCTTCCATATTAGCCCCCACCAACCCTCCAGATCCAGATCCCACTGTTTTCCCCTGAGGACAAAAGCCCAGGGCCAAGGGGCTGCTGAGCCCTCAGATAGGGGAAGCCATCTGCCGGACCAGAGGGTGCACCGGGTCAGCCCCTGGCCAGATAAGGTGTAAGGCACTTTGGGTGCCTGTGAGAGAGGCCACTGCCACCTGCCACTGCCAGGGGCTGGAGGTCAGAGCTCCAGAAGGAACAGCGACCCTGGCTGTGGTCCCTTCAGTGCAGCAGTGGGATGTGTGTGAGTGTGTTTGTGAATTCACGTGTGACCATCTACACTTACACCAATGGTCTGTTCATTGGCTCCAGAGTGTTGGAAGCCTGTG